TTTTTCAAGATTAAATTACGCGCATGAATTATTGTCTCTTAGTTTTAATACCTAATAATAAAATTGATTTTATTATTGTTTTTACATACATACATACATCACGCCTTTATCCCTTGCGGGGTAGGCAGAGCGTCAACGACCGTAAAAGTATTATTGTTTTTACTTCATTTTTATATAATTCTGAGTGTCTATATTTTTAAATTTTTTAATTGATGGAAATTATGTCAAGTTTTATATGTATTAGTAAAGTATGGGACTAGTACTGCTAGTACCATGTCAATTATTAACTAGTAAATGTATCGCTGTTAATGCGCTTGCCCAGTCATAACTATTACATTAGGCCTTTTTGTAAAAATCAATAAAAAGTCCTGAATATGTCCGACTGTATCTAGACACATGGAAACCCTACTGTATTTTAGTTTTGGATTACTTTTGAGGTAACTATTCTTATTATTCTATTTCTAAGTATTTCGGAATTTTAAGGGCAAGAAAGATGAATGACATTTTATTTTTAGGCTACCCGCGCATGTGCAAATAAAAGGGTCAAACCAGTTGGATAGTAGGTAATAATAAAACAATAAAAGTCTCAATTATGTAAAACAATGCATTGACGTAAGGAATTAAATGAAAAGCGATTATTCGCAAGTATGCAAGTCGAACGTAAAATTAGTACAAATAAATTGCATTAACATTTAAGATTTCATCGGAAGAACTTAAATGGGTGCTATTGCAGCAAGCAATAATGGAATGATTCCTGGAGATTCGGCGATCTTAGGGCAATTTTAGATTCATAACTGTCAACAAAGTAAGCATTTTACATGCAACACCATAAACGAAGTGACTCATTCTAGATAAGACAGCTGACGCCTACTATCGTAGTATAGAATAGACACACCTACTTAATAAAAGGTAGGAAAGGATGTGTGGTGCCGGCTTAGAATAGCATCATCCCATATCTTTCCCGTGGTTAAGAGTTGATGAGTATTGCAATTTATGACGAAAGGCTGACAGTCTGTCACTTTGGTGATACACAGTCTTACCAATAACTCTCAATCGTGGTGTAAATGGCCGTTTTTACAGCCGTTTATACTCTGCCTACCCCGCAAGGGATATAGGCGTGAAGTATGTATGTTAGTAAAACTACTGCTTTGCTTTCACAGGCTAGCTAGTTTTTCGTGGAACAGTACAACTTTCTGCTAGGAAAACTTGAGCACGGTACTTTTCCTAACACCCTTTATAATACATATTAGCAGAGACTTTGCAGCGTTAACCAGCTAGCTTAACGGTCGTACTTGCCTTGACTAAACATAAACGTCAGCTAATATTGTAATAAAACTTAAAAAATCGTGTTTCTTGGGGAAAAGTTATCCAGTTAAACAAACTGGCTCATACATAGAAATGAACCCACAACTTGTCTTAACACCCTGTATGAAATTTGCATAGACTTAGCAGAGTTAACCAGCTAGCTTAACGGTCGTCCTTGTCTTGATGTTACCTTATATTGCATTAAAACTTAAAAATCGTGTTTATTGGGGAAATTTGCCCAGTTAAACAAACTGGCTCATATCTGGAAATGGACCCAGAACTTGTCTTAACACCCTGTATGAAATTCGCATAGACTTAGCAGAGCTAACCAGCTAGCTTAACGGTCGTCCTTGCCTTGACTAAACAGAAGTGTTAGCAGTATGCGCACTTTGGCAATAAAATACGAGGACAATTCTGAGATTTTATTTTACTGGCTTATTTTGAATAATGCATTCGTTGTTTGATAAACTTCACTTCGACATGGAAAATATGTTCAATTTATACTATTGCTAAATTACGTTTATTCTATAAAAACTACAGGTATAAAAAATACCAACAATGCTATTTCTATTTTATTTTATTTTTAAGAAAAACTTACAGCTATTGAAAGTACCTATTGCTAAATTCTTTTATCATTATAAATGGAGACATCTCTTCAACAAGGTGAATCAATAAATATTTTGTAATGGAATTCTTTATCTGTAAGTACCTAGTGAAACAACAATTTGTAATCGAGTAAGGCATGGCTCACGTACAGGACCTACCCTAGGCAATTTAATCGGCAAATAGAAAATTTTATTTTTACACCAACACGTATCAAATAGATGTGTTAAAAAGGCAGGATCCATAGAGCAATTAATATGGTAGGATCCTACCAGCGTATGAGTCATTTCGCGATTGAATTTTTTGACATATTTCGGCCCATGTTCTATGAGGAAATTTGTTCAGTTCCATAAGTACCTTGTCCTCATTTCGGCTTTTTATATCTTTTTTGTTACTCCTCAAGCAAAAAGACCATTTTGCGATTGAATTTTTTGACATATTTCGGCCCATGTTCTATGAGGAAAGTTGTTCAGTTTCATGAGTGCCTTGACCTCATTTCGGCCTGTTATTAAGTAAGACCATTTCGCGACTGAACGCTGCGCACATTATGTATTTTTTTTTATAGTCATGCTTACCCCTTTCTGTCCTTGGTCCTGTGGCAAGGCCTTCAGAAGGAAGTTTCGTTCAGCCTCCGAGATTCGGGGGTGCTGCGCTGGGGTGTCGTAAACCACCGCGAACCATGCCACCGACCACATCACACCGATTATACCTGCAGGATAAAATGTACTTAGCATACTTCTAAGATATCATCATCTTCCTGCTCTTATCCTAATTACTTGGAGTCGGCTTAGCACGTTCCGTTTGATCGCAAAATCATGTTGCTAAAGGATCAGCCGCCTGCCAGACGTCAACCCTCTTTGGGAATGCTGTCGGAGGTGGTATTACCGCCACCATACGGTTGACTATAGTCGGCAGGTATTGTAGCCATGGTTAAAAACTACGTCGCCTGTTACGAAACACCCTGAGTAGAATAGGGGTTGCAGAATTCTTAGAAGCTACCATTCGGCACCTTCAATGATAGTCACCATTAAAAGTAGTGTCTAGCTTGCGTCCGGTTAGACACTCGAATCGTCTTTACACGCGACATTTCTCGTCCAAAATCGAAAATTTTAACCTAGTTTGAGCTTGACTGTACACTACTAGACATACATGGGCCTATTGTAGGGTATGTTCTTGGGGTATTATATTTCGCAGGTATCTGTGCTGAATGCCGATTCCCTGGATTTATCCTGGGTAAAAAGCTATGCTAAGAAGAAGGTTTGGAAGTAGGTAAGTATTAATTAAGTCAGATAAAGTAATCTTACCGGTGAAGTAGAAAGCTGACTCCCAACCGAGGTGTGCAATGAGGAATCCGCAAATCGGCATGGTGATCGCAGCTCCCAGGGACGATGCTGAAATTAAAACAAATAAGTAATAAGTAGGTACATCATAGTCATAGAGAAAAGAAGTCGGCCAATGACCGGGTTTTCGAAACTACAGGCTATAATTCTACAGGCGAAATTCGATGTACATTGCGTAGCTAGTGTGATGATGGGATAATAATGGCTACCCGGTTACGCAATGTACATCGCATTTCACCTGTAGAGTGTAGAATTGTAGCATGTAGCTTCGATGCATAGGCCACAGGTTATATCACAGGGCGGCGGGCATGATGGATGACTTCTCTGGTCTGTGAGTGTACAAAAACCTACGGGGTTGCGGGGTAGGAACACCAAATTGTGTATTTGATTTCAAAATGTGTCGCTGATTGGGGTCCGAAAATCTTTCTAATATTCCGAGCCATGTTCCTAGGGAAAAGCTTTTCAGTTTCAAGGGCTATACCTATAACTTCTTGGAAATATTTGTTTTTTTAAACCTTTGTTTGTGCATAATATTAGTATATAGCATCGCCATATTTTGCGTTATAAAATGATTTAGTGATTACAACAAGCTTATCTCAGCAATTATACATTTACAACCAATTACTCGCCATCAAACAATTTACTAGATCCTGTACTTGAGTCTTATAAATACTTAAGCCCTGAGTGGCCGTTGCATTTTTATTGCTAACTTAATTGTATCATAACCAGAATAAAGATTAGGTTTATTACTGAGAACATTCTTTAACTTATGTATTGGATTTTTTAATGCACTCACAGTGCTATATTATTATCATAAGTTGAAAATGATAAAATAAGAGATTGAGATGTTGAGAAATTCATCAGTGTCCGCCGGGCGCCCGTAGCTCAGTTGGCAGAGCAGTAGGACGGTACCCCATGGTCCCGGGTTCAAGTACGTACTTTAACCCTCGTTTTGAACAAGTCGGGTAATGATTAGAACAATGACAGCCGATGTGGCGCAGTGGTTACAATACCTGCCTGCCACGCAAAGGTTCCGGGTTCAATTCCCGGTGGGGTCACTCACAAAGTTGATATTTATCACTTTGTGAATTTGTTCACGTTAAGCCGTCGGTCCCGGTTGCTGTCTATGATGGCGGTCGTTATACAACCATGTCAGATGCCTGCTACTTGCAGTAGGCGGTTGAAAAACTCTGACACCAGGGTTCATCGGGTCGTTGAACGACTCGGTGTCCCACACGAAAAGAGAGAGAGAAGATCAGAACATTAGGTAAGTAAAGTTCAGTTTCATGGGTTAGTTCATTCATTAGCATTGTTTGTTTGTCCGTCTGTACGTACGTCATCACTCGCGTTTCTCATTGACCGATTTCTAGGTTCAATAAAATGGAAATCTACTGATACAGCCCGCTCATAACGTAAATATGTGTTTACGTATTACCGAGTTAGGTATATTCCATTTTGCTATTTTGCACCATGTTTTATTTATTTGTTTTACAATGCGTGTAAAGCCGGCCGTGTGGTCCCAGCTTAGCGGTGTGATGCCGGGTTCGAATAGCATCACCCCATATCTTTCCCGTGGGTGTCGTAAGAGGCGACTAAGGGAATTGAAAGTTGATGTGTATTGCAGTTTTAAGCGACAGGCTGACAACCTGTCACTATGGTGATAAAGTTTTCTGAGTGACTCTCAAACTTTCTACGTGGTGTAAATGGCAGTTTATTGGTATTGTAATGCACTCACAGTGCTATATTATTCTCACAAGTGATAGCTCAGTGGCAGAGCGGTGGGGCGTTTACCCATGCGGCCCGGGTTCGATCCCCGGTCGATGTACGTCATCTTTTCTATTTCTTATTTTCACTTGTGAGAATTAAATGGCAGTTTTTTACAGCCGTTTACGCCCTGCCTATCCTGCAAGGGAGGAATATAGGCGTGATGCATTTATGTAGGTATGTTATTTCCTACCATGTATTATTTATTTTACAATGCGTGCGATGTATGTACAATCGACAGCACATCAACCTGACCCATTTATGGAACCAGCTTATACTACGTTTTTAAGTTCCTATCTATACTATAAATTTGCCCGAGTGCAACAATGATAGGCTAAAATTTGTTTTACAAAATGTTGGAACCTATTTAGTAATTTTACCTGTTTAAGTTTTTTTCAATCCTGCGTGTAACATTGAAATTAAGTAATTTCTACCTTCCTGTTTGGACATTTCGCGAATGTACGACCTTGGTTCTCACGTGACAGTGCCCTTCTCAATTTCCTTTACTCATTTAGGTCTAGGCGTTTCCGAGGATGTCCATTAATATGCAGGTGACACGGTATTAGTGTTTTACGAGTTTTTTATCGACCACATTACCGATAAAAGACAGTTTGTAATGCAAATTGGGGTATTAAAATCCCTCTTCTGTAGCAGAATCAGCATTGTGAAAACGTTAACGTAAATAGGTACATACTTTGATAATCCTTGCAGAGTAATTCTACTGAGAATCGAAAAATATATTTGAACATGACTTAGGTAATTGTAGTTTTTTATTTGTAGATATGCTGGAAAAACTTTAAATCTACCGGGGCTATCCAAGAGATTTTAAACTATCTCTTATCTTTGAATCAAACTTCTACTTCCTTTTTGTCATTGTATGATAGGTACCTACAAGATTATGTTTTATGTACTTATTTGACACCTTACGACTTTGAACAAGATAGGTTTTAAACTTTTGACAGCCGATGTGGAACTCTGACACCAAGGTTCATTGGGTCGTTGGACGACTTGGTGTCCCACCACTCTCGAAGAAGGAAAAGAATTAGATACTTAGTCATCATCCGTCATTGACCTATTATTCTACTTAAATTTGCCTACTGGTGTTTGGTGGTAGTATTCACGAGCTATGTCACTAGGAGAGAAAAGAGGACGTCATCATCATCTGCCTGCTCTTATTCCATTTCTCAATAAGTAGGTAGGTACGGCATCCAATCCTATTTAGGCCTTCCTCTCTTTCTGCTAACATCCACCCACATCCATTCCTATCCTTCTCAATTTCTCATTCATCTCGACGACAGGTAACAACAGATACCTATTCTATTTCTGTAGAAACTAACGGTTTTAAGCGCCTACTGAACCTGTCATCATATCCATTGGAATGAATATATTTTTTTTACAGAATGCCGGCGGCTGCAATAATGGCCACCAAACCTATTGTTATCAAGTGGTAGACTGACCGCAGCAATTCACGAAGTTCCGAGAACCGTATCTGCGCCTACGCATAGCAACCGTTACGCAAGGGCAAACGCTCCGTCGTCCAATCAGCGCGCGCCATTCGCGTGACGTCAGCTGCCACGCCTGCGCGCGCCTCCGACGCCGTATCGCTTTCAAATACACGGTCATAAATCGAATATCGAACATTGAAAGTACAATTTGTTATTGTATCGAATTGAACGAGCCTCCTACATCGGCGATAACAAGTTGACATTACCAAGAATGATTCGGCTAGATTGTTATGAAAACAACCTTGGGATTTGTGGATGGTAAAAAAGCGTTTCAGTTCCACGAAACTTGCGCGAATCTTCGATATAATACAATAATAACTGCATTGCAACAGAATACCTATAAGAGACAACGATGTCTAGGTACTAACCAGACCATTCTAGATTACATGCAGTCGACTGTAAATCGGGGTTTATGGAGGCGCCTAGGGAAGGCCTAAATGACCAGCAGTGGACGCCTGAATCCGAGGACCATGATGATGAACGATAATGATGAGATGACGCCTTAGATTTCTTTTATGAGAATCGACTCATGATCAATTGAGGATTGAGGCTTGGTAGGTACTTAGCAAAGCATCAAGGCACGACCTTCTTGATTGGCTTCTTTAGCAACTTAGCAACCATCAACCATGCGAATAACAACCGACGTCATGGGTCCAAAACACGACCCCACAAATATCGGGTCAAGGCAAGAATTCGCCATGATTTATCATAATCAGAATTACTTATAACGTCGTCCAAATAGATATTGCGTTATATTCCCATTTGACCCAGGGATCAATGGGAAATGACATTCGCCAATTTTGCGGGAGGCGCGTCATATGTTATTGCCTATTTGCTATTATGTGCCTACGTAATACTGTAAAAGACAAGCTAGGCGTTTTGCGTAGTGGAAAAACAACAATTTATAAATACTTTGGTGTTTTCTACGGTAAGAAACGAGCGGAAAGTGCGAATGGGCGGAAGGATGAATAAAAGTTGACGCGGAAAGGATGTGCTGACGTGGAGGGTCAATAGAAGAACCATAGGTAACTATCAAGATGGACAGACGATTTCGTCAGGAAGATAGGTATAGGAAAAAACTGGAAGAGACAAGCCGTCAGAAGATGAATCACTTAAGGTTAAAAAGAAGACAAAGGTAAATTCTTTTAGAGAGATCTACCCCACTTTGTAAGCAAGCATCGTGGATGGCTCTCATACCTAATGGTCTTCCATTATTCCATCTTGAACTACCAAGATTAGGCTCTTCCGCTCCGATCCGATGGATTTCAAAGCAAAAGACAGACAGAACAGAAGCAAGATTTTCAACAATCTCGAATGACTTGAATAATTAGCAAACATATTTTCATTTAAATCACGATGAGAGCGACTAAGTGAGTGCTCAGTTTTAAGTTATTCAATTTATTACTACAGAGAAACAATTAAGTTGTCAGTCGTCGTTAAAATAAATGACAAGCGTTCAGTTCAGACTCTTTACAAAGTAACAAATGAGATTCGGACCAGTAAGTATTGTTTGTCAGTTGTTTTTGTTACATGTTTTTAGCTTAAAACTCGTTGGAAGCATTTTTTTGCTCATTTGGTTCAAATCGTTCTTCGTATTTGCGAATTTCTCGGAACGATCAACCTTTCTTGGACGAGCAATTCAATCAGAATAAAATTACAAAACATCGATTAAGGCTTGGTTTTTTACAGCGTTATCATTATTAATCACATTAGCCCGTCCTCTTATGTATCCTAATTTGTTTTGAGTCGGCGAAACGTGTATCAAAAATTATGTTGCAATATACTGCCTGAAGTCAATCCTCTATGGAAATGCTATTGTTCGTGGATTCACCGCCACCATGCGGTTGATTGTGGTTAGCAGATTTTTTACAAGATCAGGAACTTTACATCGCCTTTTATGAAAAGCCCTAAGTGGGCTCGGGATGGCAGTATTCTTAGCTCCTGCAATACAGACCCATCTAAGACCTATGTTTCTAAGAAATACGTTACGAATCCCTACTCAAATCTACTGGCTTACAAAAAATATACAAAGATCTTACCCATCATGTTTAACATAAACTTGGACCTGTCCATTGGCGGGATCCACTTAGACGCCATGGGCAGGATGGCTGGCTAGGTGGCTCCTAGCAATAAGCCCAGTAAGGTCCTTACATCATCAGGAAGGTATGATAAGCCTACTAAGATCCATGCAGCATCACAAAGGACACTAACCCATCATGTTAGACACGAACTTAGATCCGCCCATCGGTGGAATACACTTGGAAGCCATGGGTAGGATGACCGGTCAGGTGACTCCTAAGAGGAACCAAGGATCTTACAGTATCATAGAGAGCACTTACCCATCATGTTAGACATGAACTTGGACCTGTCCATTGGCGGGATCCACTTAGATGCCATGGGCAGGAAGGCTGGTCAGGTGGCTCCTAGCAGAAAGCCGAGTAAGGTCCTGGAGAACACTGCGCACCAGAAGCCGACAGCGCAGGCGGTGGGGGTGAGGATGGTCAGGATGATAACAGGAAGCCGAGTAAGATCCTTACATCATCAGGAAGATATCAGGAGCCTAGTAAGATCCAAACAGCAACAAAACCCATTATGTAAGAATGAACTTCGATCCGTCCATCGGTGGAATACACTTGGAAGCCATGGGCAGGATAACCAGCCAGGTGACTCCTAAGAGGAACCAAGGTTTCTTACAGTATCATAGAGAACACTTACCCATCATGTTAGACATGAACTTAGACCGGTCCATTGGCGGGATCCATTTAGACGCCATGGGCAGGATGGCTGGCCAGGTGGCTCCTAGCAGAAATCCGAGTAAGGTCCTGGAGAACACTGCGCACCAGAAGCCGACAGCGCAGGCGGCGGGGGTGAGGATGGTCAGGATGAAGATGGCTCATAACAGGAAGCCGAGTAAGGTCCTTACATCATTAGGAAGGTATGAAGAGCCTAGTAAGATCCATTCAGCATCACAAAGAACACTAACCCATTATGTTAGACATGAACTTCGATCCGTCCATCGGTGGAATACACTTGGAAGCCATGAACAGGTAGGATGACCGGTTAGGTGACTCTTAAGAGGGTTCTTACAGTATCATAAAGAACACTCACCCATCATGTTGGACATGAACTTGGATCTGTCCATTGGCGGGATCCACTTAGACGCCATGGGCAGGATGGCTGGCCAGGTGGCTCCTAGCAGGAAGCCGAGTAAGATCCTTACATCATCAGGAAGATATCAAGAGTCTAGTACATACAGCATCACAAAGAACACTAACCCATTATGCAAGACATGAAATTCGTTCCGTCCATCGGTGGAATACACTTGGAAGCCATGGCACGCCATGGGCAGGATTTACAGTATCATAAAGAACACTTACCCATCATGTTAGACATGAACTTGGACCTGTCCATTGGCGGAATCCATTTAGATGCCATGGGCAGGATGGCCGGCCAGGTGGCTCCTAGCAGAAAACCGAGTAAGGTCCTGGAGAACACTGCGCACCAGAAGCCGACAGCGCAGGCGGCGGGGGTGAGGATGGTCAGGATGCTGGCGAGT